TAGTCATTCTCTAAGGGGATAAATTAATGAATTTGAAGAATTTGTTAATATTTTTAAGACAGTTTAGGATTTACCCACTCCCCCAATAAGTCGATCGGCAAGAAAAAGACAGCTGCTGTAATGGCAGCACAGTTTCTTGGTATTAACAAAGTTCAAGGTAAACCACATTCTTAGGTTGTTTTATATCAGGTGTCAAACTCAATTTCATTGAGGGACACATCAGGGTTGTGTTTGACCTTGCGGGGCTGGGGTGGGCGTGGCCAGGTGGGAGTGGCCAGCTCGACATCACTTGTCTCAGGGGCGCCTGTAGTGGCCTGAGCACTCTGCCAGTGAAAACAGGCTCCCGAGCTCCATTTCCGGTTTTGATGGCCTCCTGCAACCCTCTACCAGCTTGGGAGGTCTGCCTGCGCACCTTGCGAGCTCCATTTTTGGCTGCAATGGCCTCTTGCAACCTTCCGCCAGTGAAACGGAGCTTAGGAGGGTCACACGTGGTCCTTCCGAGCTCCGTTTTTGCTGGCAGGCCAGTCCTTTGCTGTTTCTAGGGTGGTCTTAAGGTCAGATCTAAGCACCCTGCAGGCCGAATCCGGCTCCCGGGCCTTGAGTTTGACACCCCTGCTTTATACCATATGTTTTCACTTTGTGTTTATAATTAAGCACATGCATTATAAAAGGAGGAATAACAAGTAAAGTATGCATGATAGCAGAATTTTTGTGTCGATAGCTGGACTGGCTAAAGTCTTAAAACATGCTGAATTAGGTTATTAAAAATCACTGTCCACATGCTCCCAAATCCCATGATGATTACTTGACTGGAACTAGAAATAATCCTAACAATCTATTCTCTAAACTAAAATATATTTGTATGGTTTCTCTTTTAACCATATTACAATAAAACAAGAATAAGAAAACCGAACATTGAAATTCACATTGGAGCCTGAATTTAACTAATCTAAAGACATGCTGGTTGTTAACCTTAACAATGTTGTTCTGTGCGTTTAGTGTATTTCAGGTATATTTATATATGTAATTTGAAAACATGTTAAAAGAGAGGTCGTAGTTGATAACATTTTTAAGGCTGGCAACAAATTAATAGTTAAAACCCATGCAAGGGTGTATTTATAGCAGTTGTATTGCTTTAATTTGTTTATAGTGCTTTTATGCTGCAATGAAACAGACAAATATAAGTGGTTTATAATTTTATAATTTAAACAAACACTTTTGAAATAAATTCTAAAGCCAATGTTCAAATTAATCATAATGAAATAAATAATGACTGGCTGTAAACTTTCCGTATTCTTATTTGGGGTCCATTGATAACCCTAACCCTTCTTTTTTGTGGGTTTAAATTTATCCCTAGTGGCATCACTACGGGAAAAAATGGTTTTATATTTCAAACTGTGATACCTGTCTAATTCTAGCAAAATGAATAAAAGTAATACTCTGCAGAATGAATGAAGCATGCACAAAATCAGAGAAGTGTCCATGAGTATTTAAGATCAAACCTGTCTGAAAGTAAATAATCTCTTACAGACACAATGAAGATTATCCATCAAGCGCATGGCTCTAAGGTGCGTTTATCATTGCTTCCTTATTTGCCTCGGATGATGATGATGATATTATCCATTCTGTTGTGTCCGACTGTTGATGACGCTGTAGGCCAGGTCTCTCCACATCTCCCAATCTTGCACTGCTTCTTTGAAGTTTTCTATGCTGTGTCTGGTGTCAGCTTTGATGGTGTCCAGCCATTGTGTTCTTTGACAGCCCAGTTTCCTTTTTTTTCTTTTTCTTTTTGCAAGAATTTTTTATTTTTATTAAACAACACAAAAAAAATCATCTTACATTACATCTTGTAGAAAGTATGTCAATTGGTTACAATTAACTTTCATGAATCTCTTCCACAGTCATTGCTTATTATTCATATCAGATGTCAAAGATTCTTTCCTTTATTTCTGTTGTGGCCTGTTGGCCACTGGCCCCTCCAGCAGCCAAATCAGATGAGGAGGAGGCATGGGAGTTGGGATCAGCAGCAAGGCAACCTGAGAGCTCCGAGGGGGAAGAGGGAGTGGAGCTCTCAGAAAGAGAGGGGGGGGGAGGAAGGGAGAGAGAGAGAAGGAGGGGGGGAGAGATGAAGAAGAGGAGGAACAACTGGGTCCAATGCCTGATGCGCAGATGCTCAGAGGCAGAGGAGAGGAGAGCAGTGGAAATCTGTGGGCTGATCCTTGGGATGGAAGTGCCACCGTTGCTAGCAAAAACCCCACCCTAGCTCTGGGGATAAAAAGCAGGGGGTGGAGTTGAATAGATGTGGCATACAACTATTCATCTTCCTGCTGGACAAATTTGTTAGCCTGCCTTGAGGGAGAGACTTTTTGCTGGTGCTCCTAATAAAGGAATCGTTGATTGTTTTCAGAGGATTTGTCATGTTTGGGGAGCTGAGTCAGAACAATTTCCCTCTAAAGCAGGGATGGGGAACTATGACCCTTTTATTGACCTGTGGACTTCAACTCCCAGAATTCCTGAGCATGGCTGGCTCAGAAATTCTGAGAGTTGAAGTCCACACATCATAACGGGCCCTTAGTTCCCCACCTTTGCTCTAGATCATTCTAATGTTTATTTTCCCTTGAACTTAGAAAATGTTGACACTCTCATTCCGCCCTTCCTTTCCCCATATTTCTAGACCAATGAACTTGTTCTGAGTTTAGAGGATGATGACAAACTCATCTTGGTGGAAGACAGCACCTTGAAAGCAGCTGGAGTAGGTAGGTTGCTCATTTGAACTGACGGAAGATGTGGTTCATTGTGCTGGCCTTTATTCTGAGAACAGCTGACCGTATTTGGATAGCCAGCCGAAAAGCAAACACTATTTCTGGTGTGCTCGGTGCACAAACTGGTAATTATTCAGGAGCGGGAGAGGAGGCTGGCATAATGTACATTCAAATTATTGGACTTGAGGGCACCCTGCCTCTCCCTACAGAATGTTAACGAAGGCATTCCTTTAAAAAAAGAAAAGAAGGTATGCCTAGAACTCTGTGGAGAGTAATTTTAAATGATTGACAGTTTGGTTATTAGAATTACATCTGCTCCGTCTTTTCAGTAACATTTAAATGGAGGTTTGGTTGGAAATTTAAGAAGGGGACCAGCGAGGAGACATGACAGAGGCATCTATTTAATAAAGCACAGCGGTGAAATCATCCCAATGTTTGAAGCGGAGTGCCCTTGTGGTATGATACGCAGTAAGAAATGTAGAGAAAGAGGATTGTGTAGGCCAAACCAGGTGGCTGCAGGGTGGGTGCCAGTTAAATATTGATTTGGCATTGCAGGTAATCCTTGTTCAGTGACTGTCTTTATTTATTAAATTTGTTTGCTGCCCATCTTGCCACAAGGTAACTCTGGGATCAGCAGCAAGGCAACCTGAGAGCTCCAAGGGGGAAGAGGGAGTGCTTAATTCATCTCACTTGAATAACAATAACCAGGGCTGTAACCTTAAGAATAATTATAATGTATTAAAATAAGAAATAATAATCATTAGAAAAAGGAAGAAAATTTCTTCATTTGAAGAAATTTTTGAATAAGGGTGCAAATCTGAAGCTTGCTCCTCATGGTATCAAGGGTCTACAAACCCAGATGAGACCTCCTCAACAGGTCCTCTCATTGGAGAAAAACAAATTGTGAGAATAGAGTAACTTTTTAGGAGCAGTTATGATCTGATAAGCAAGGCTTAAACAGGGTGCAATTCAGGGATGGTATTCACTTACCTTCCCTACCGATTCGCAAATGTGAGCGCACGCAAGTGCCCATCCACGCATGCTCCCCTCCGTGCTTGCGCTCAGCTTCTGCGCATGCGCTTTGGCTTGAAAATGTGGGCAGGCCCACCCGCGATTTCGACTACCAGTTCAGGCGAAACTGTCCGAACCAGAAGAATACCATCTGTGGTGCAGTTCACCTAAAAGTTTTATACAAAGTGTCTGCCTTCAGGACCCTCTTGATTCCTCCAGGACCCTCTTTTCTCTTTCTGCAGATTTCCTAGTCGATATTCAGTCATAGCTCTTCCCACTCCTTGCTCCTTTCTTCACGACACAGGCAGACTTCATTAACTTAACGGTTTAATTTTGAAAAGCGAGTGTCGAACTTGGTCGCTTCGCACTTCAAAGGGCTCCCACGTCTTCTAATTGTGATGACTTTCCATCAGCAATGTGTCTGCTCTGAATTAGTAATGTTGCTGACTTACTGTTTTAGAAGAAGTCCTTGACCTGCTGGTGGGAAGAACTGTGCTTGCTCTGAACCTCCGTGGTTCCTTGAGCTCTGCCAGATCCCCTGTGAATAATTAGAGGCATTTGAAGGTATTGCTGGAGAAGCCAATTTGTGTCTTTCACTTTGCATATTGTTGAAGCCTCATGAATTAATCATTGGCAGGAGGGGGGGGGGAATTAGCTGCTTCAGTCTCGCATTTGATGGGTCATGAGGGAGAATGTAAAGTGACCTGTAAAATATTCTACTGATCCGCTAAGTATTAAATTATTACTGCTACAGGTTAATTTCAGGGGGAACCTGCCTCCCTTCTCACTAAATAGAACAAGGAAGTTTAAAATATGGGTTTAGCCATTTCTTATATTTTGAAACGAGAATACAATGAAAGAGAAGGAGTGGTGCTTTCAGCTTGTGGAGTGCTGTCTCAATGTTTTTGTTTTGAATTTTGTGTTTAAGCAAGGGTGCTTTCCTGTCCCTTCTACCAAGCCTACTCTTCTTGCCATTGGGATCAGCTGTAAAAAGATGTTGAACCAACAATAACCTTAAATGACAGCTTAATTATTGCTATATTTTTTTCCACTATGGGAAAATTCTGGTCTTTCTCAAATAGGTGAAATAGGTGTGTTTTCTTCATTTCAGCGAATGAAACAGAACTCGCATTTTTCTGCATGGATGATTACAGAAAATACAAGACCAATCCCGTTGCTACCTGGTGAACACCAAGAAAATTGAGGAGGGGGGAAAATCTGCACTGTTAATGAGACAGTTTATCCTGAAATCCTAAACATTTATGTTAACAAGCATTGAGACTTTTATTTACAGCAATGCAAGACCCATTGAAGAGTGGGGGGGGGGAACTACAAACAATGACATTGCTTTCTGACAAGACTAATTTCTCTTCCTGAAATGTGTGATTTTGTAAAATAATAATAAGCATACGCTGATACCTTCTCTGTATGGCTTGCAAATAGGAATTTGTATGTAGATTGACAGAGTCATTTATGTCAAAATGAAGATGTATCAGCTTCAGAAAAGAACCATGCATAAAAAAACAACAACGCCCGGTAATCTTACCACACTGCAGCTTTTTTTAAAGAGTCCTTTGCATTTCTTCCCTTGTCTCTCCACAGCGTTTTCTTAAGATTGTGAGGAATGATGAAAAATGCCTTATTTTGTTTGGCAGATCCATGCTTTATGCTGGGCTTGTTTCAGGGTTTATGCTGCTTTTAATGAATGAGGCAGAGTGCCCAAGAGTTGTTTATATAGTGCTAAACCTGTAGAAAGGGGAAAAATAACTTTAAAAATTGTCATTTGCAGAGTGGCCATCTAACAATCACCAAGTAACTTCTCCTATTGCCTTTGATTTTGGGCTGGGTAAAACTTTCTTCAGTGTAGCCATAACTTTTTCTAGTTCTTGTCATGGTAAGAGTTGGCCACTGTGATTTATGAGATATGGTCATTGTGGTATGATAACTATGATGAGATTTGATACCAGAATGCATTTATGCTATTAAAGGAGCCCTTTGCAGTAACTACCCTGTTTCCCTGAAAATAATGATCTCCCCGGATAATAGGTCCAATCAGGCTTTTGAATTTAAGCCCTCTCCAAAAATATTGCAATACAGCAGCTGCCATGAGGTGACCACGCTTGCCACCTCCTGCACCTCGAAAATAATAAGACCTTCCTGAAAATAAGGCCAAGCGTTTATTTCGGGGGTCAAAATAAAATAAGACCCTGTCTTATTTTTGGGGAAACAAGGGATTCTGTATCAATATGGTCAAGAATGAATGCTTGTTATTTCTGCTGCTCTTCTTTTAAGGATATAACAATGGTTTGGACAAAATGGTTGAACAATGGTTCAGACTGGACAAAATTCCTTTCATTATGAAAAGATACTGTCTCTAACGCGTTAACTTCCTTTGGAAGCTGGGTTGCATCACTTCACTTTCTGCCTGATGGTTTAGTTGTGCTGGCCTGCATTGAAAAACATTAGGAACCAACTCAAAGGGAAGTGTTAATATTGCTGTTTCATAAAGAGCACCAGGTTATTCCCAGGGCTGAACAGTGGGGCAAATTATGGTCTTGTTAATGATGTTTCTGTATTTTGAATAGCTCTTTTTTAATTGGTTTCAACAGATGGCAACACCTGGCTGACACTGACTTAGCCTGGAAGCTAAGTAAGATTGGTGTGGGGTAGTGCCTAGTGAGAGATTTCCAGGAAACAGAGGCTGAAGACTAGATGGGGAACAAGGGGGAACATTCCAGAAAGGAGGCAGCGTGAAACACTTCTGCATCGCTGCATGGCTATTGCCATGGAGTTTTCAGTTTTGGGCTTGACTTGAAAGAGACAATCTTGTAATCCTGTAGTGGCCAGTTTTGCTTGCAGTACCGTGATGGTGAACCTATAGCATGCGTGCCACAGATGGCACACAGAGCCCTCACTACTGGTACGCGCGCCAGGTCAGATCTCCGTAGGTGTTTCTTTTGGGAGTTTCTGTTTCCCTGCAAATGACGAAGCAGAAACTCATGAAAGAAAAAGATCTTACCTCTTGCCGTGCTGTCGGTGTTGGGATGCCCCACCTGGTCTTCGGGTCTTTGCTGCACATGTCCATGCATATGTGTGTTTGCGTTTGTCGTCCGTGTGTGTGTTCATGCGCATGTGCACCTTTCAGTTTGGGCATGCACGCACAGGCAGTTTAGGCACACGGTGCCTAAAAGGTTTGCCATCACTGTTGTAGCATATACAGAGAGTCCTGGACCTATCACCACAATTGAGCCTGCTGCTAAGGGAGACATTTGTTAAATGAGTTTTGCCCCCTTTTACGATCCTTCTTGCCAAGAACTACTAAAAAATACAGTAAACACTACTTGGAGATTCATAATAGAGAAACATCATTAACAAGGCCATAATTTGCCCCACCATGTGTTAAGTGAATCACTGCAGTTGTTAAGTTAGTAACACAGTCGTTAAGTGAATCTGGCTTCCCCATTGACTGGTTATCAGGAGGTGGCAAAAGTTGTTCACCAGACCCCAGGACATTGCAACAAATCATAAATATGAGTCATTTGCCAAGCAGTTGAATTTTGATCATGTGACCATTGGGAGGCTGTAACAGTCGTGTGAAAAATGATCATAAGCCACTTCTTTCTGTGCCATTGTAACTTTGAATAGTCACTAAACAAACTTTTGTAAATGGAGGACTATCTGTACATAAAGAAGGAGAAATAGGTGCTCAGATTGGCTTTGGAGGGAGGGGGGGAGCAAGGGTTGATGTGGCCCGCTTCATGCAATTTTACTAAGCCAAAGTAAAACCCTTATTCTGATGTAGTAGCCACTTCATACACCTTTTAAGATAAGTATGACTTTTTTATGATTTTAAAAAGTCTCTATTAAAAAAGCGCTCAGTTTTGATTAAAAGAAGAACTTAAACGAAGATAAGTGTTCAGTTGAAAGATACCTTTGGTGCAAAATACACATCTGAAGTTGGCAACGAATCAAGAATGTTTGGGATTTAGTGGTTATTTGGAAGAGAAAGGAGCCTTTTGAATGTGAACTTTTCACCAGTGAAATGATCCAGGTTTTGCATTACTACGCTATAGGATTTCAGCATTTTTGNAATCATGATCCCAAGCTGGAAAAATAAATAAATTCATATTATTTCCCCATCTTATTATTTTCAAATGCTATTTACACAATGTGTGCATGTGACTTTTATGGTAAGATGACACACAAATTGTATTATGTCTTAGGTGGTAAGATGCATACTGCTGGAAGTATGATTTTAAGGCTCACCCTTTCTAGATTATTACTGTCTGGCATCTAAATGAACAACTGGGAACGTGACTGCCTTGAAGAACAGGACTGGGCTGCATCTCTATATCGATTCCGGTTTCTCAGTGTGTGGACTCTGTAATTACTTTGTAATATTTAAAATTATGTATTGACATGCTACATAATTAAGCAGAACAAATGAATTTAGGACTACAGACTCTCCAATTTAAAAGGACTACATCAATCTGATTTATTTGACAAAGCCACCAAACTGAAGAGAGTTAAATATTGTTTTAGCATGCATGCCTAGACAGAAGTGCTCTGATGGTATGTAGTACAGATATGGATCACCAGGAGAAAGAAGGTGAATGCCAGGTGGGTAAGAGGCAACCCAGTCTAAATACTATGTGTGAGATAAAAGGGTAAAGGCAGCCTATCTCAAATAGTTCAAAGAGAATATTGTGTAGGTGCAGATAATACAGTGCTCTGTATGGCATGATTTTGTGAAACAATAAAGAATTGTTTGGAAGAATCACATGTCCTTTTTGGTTTTAGATCTGAAAGCTGCACATTTATATTATTTGAAAGGTTGGGGGGTAATTTTCAAAGGGTGGTAATCTCTGAAACTGAAGATGAGGGCTATCTTTTAAGAACAAGGATCTTAGAAATAATCCTATCATATTTTTAAAAAAATATTTCGGCAAGTACAATAACAAGCTGGGTTATTAACAGTGATTGGAAGAAATTGCTGAAATGAAATTAACTGCAGAAAAGATAAAATTCTGCCACTAGGTGGTGTGCAAAGCCAGCAGCAAACCAACTTGCTATAAACTAGCAAAATGAAGATTTAGGTTCGCTTTTACCTCAATCCCTTACCTTGTGGAACTTTACAGTTTAAAGAATTTATCTTTTGTCATGGACAAAGGATAATGGAAAATCAACTCCCCAGGCATCTGATTGTTGTTGTTAGTTGAGAAGTCGTGTCCGACCCATCACGACCCTATGGACATTGTTCCTCCAGGCCTTCCTGTCCTCTACATCCCCTGGAGTCCATTGAAGTTCACGCCTACTACTTCAGTGACTCCATCCAGCCACCTCATTTTCTGTCATCCCCTTCTTCTTTTGCCCTCCATCATTCCCATCATGAGGCTCTTCTCCAGGGAGTCCTTCCTTCTCTTTAG